TCTACACATGGCGCCTGGGGGGGAGGCGCCATCAACAATCTTCTGCCACGTGTACAACACGCCTCCTCCCCCAGCGTTTTCTTTTTACCGTCAGCTTACATGGCGCCTGGGGGGGAGGCACCATCAACAATCTTCTGCCACGTGTACAACACGCCTCCCCCCAGCGTTTTCTCTTCACCGTGCCACATCAGCATAGATGGCGCCTAGGGTGGAGGCGTTTTCTAAAAAACGCCCATCCCCCAGGCGTTTTCAGTTCCACGTGTATGCGCCAAAATTTCAAGAATCGGAAAATTTGGACCTGTTTACGTGTTTTTATTTTTTATTTTTTACTTTTTAATTATAAAATTGTCAATTTTTATTTATTTATATATTTCCTGTATAAATACTTAAAAACAGAAAACAAATGGAAAAAAAATATGATACTGTTGTAAATAAAAAGTGATAACATGAAATAAGAACGCAAGAAAACGTAATCTACTCCATTGATTTCAATAATGACAATATTATTGTTGTCGAATATAATAGTGTAACTATTTTGAATAAGCACAAATTATATTGGAATTAATAAAACCAATTAAAAAAAATGTAACATAGAAATAAAGATCAATCCTTAATAAATGTAATGAAAATGTGTTCTTCAAAACCAAAATTTAATTAAATTCATAAATTCTTTTTTACTTGATTTTGAAAATATATTATAAAAATGTTTTGAAATTGAGTTAAAAGTCATGGACTAAGAAGTTCTTAGACCACAATTTGAATATTCTTAGTTTTATATTTCAAAAACTCACAACTAATTTTCGATTTTAGTATTCTTGGTTTCTATTGATATTGATGTTACTATTATTTTTATCAATCACCATAAAAAGAAAATTAAGATTTAGATGATGTTAATATTAATTATAGGGATCACATAAATATTTTGTACTCGTGATTCACGATGATTTTAATATTAATTTTATTAGTATAGATTTTAATATTAATTGTAAAGGTGCGAAAAAAATTAATATTATTATTTAAAATTATTTAGTTATATATAATAAGTCCAAATTTGACAAAAAAAATAGAGATTCTTTTTATAAATAAGATAGATATATTTCCTTATTTCCCTGAAATAAACTTATTTATGTATAATAAATAATAATCTAACATAAATAAAATTATAATACCTCCATTCTTAATTATATAAGGCTTAATTATCTAATTTATCAAAATTAAAAAATTAAATTAATTAATTTATTTAATAACAATAAATTAATTTTATTTATATATTTATTCTTTCTAAAACTATCATTATACTATTTTTTTTCTTTTTAATTAATAATCATATATCTTCTAACCAATTACAGTGTATGATCTTATTTATTTATTTTTAATTAATATTCATCTTTCTCTTAATAAATTAAAGTTTCTCATAATTAATTAAAATTTCTCCTAACCAATTAAAGTTCATGTTCATTGAATAATTTATAATTAATATATTTTATTAAATTTAGATAACGCACTTTAATTATAGATATTTTAATTTAAAAGTAATTATCATATGAAATAATATAAATTAAATTTTATATAAAATAACAAACAATTATTTTAAATTGGATCTTATAAATAAAAATTTAAATAATAATAAATAGATATGTTAATTAAAATAAATAATAGCTTAATCTATGCCTATATATAAAACAATTATTTTTTGTGTAAATTTATTTGAGATGATTTTAATATAAATTAAAATAGATGTTATAAAAGTTACATAAGTATTTTAAATTTTAATAACTGGTTCTATTCACTAGGACAGTTAAATGGAAACCCGACGTGAGTTTCATCGGCTAGGATATATAATAGTAGTTAGTATATTATTAACTGTGTTGGCTCTTACCTCATGTTTAATTTGGCGGATTCCACGTATCCATGCTCCATGTCAACATGCCAATCATCGTTTTCACTTCCTAAACCTCAAAAACCACTCTCCCCATGTTACTGCTTACCAACCGTTTCATTTCATGCATCATCCTTCATCCTTTCCCAATTTGGACCTATCGATCCCATCCTCACTTGACTACCTCCGCTAATTTAGACATATCGAAATAGCCCAGAAAAGGTTCACTGAACGCGACATATATACAGACCCATACAACACAACACAACCACCCCGCTTAAAAATGCCATCCCAACACAAGACTTATGGGAAAACAGCAATATATAATAATAATACACAACAAACTCAAACAGTTATCGCAGCGAAAATAAATTTCTCTAACATGCAAGAATCTGAGGAGCAACAATCAATGAACAACAATAATAAATCACAAAAATCACACACAATGACACCAAGATTTTTAACGTGAAAAACCCCTCAAAACAAGGGTAAAAACCACAAGTCGTCTAGACCAAAGAATTAGTTCCACTATGACCAACAAAGAGAACAAAGGAGTCTCAATCAACTACACACACTAGTGAAAAATAAGTCTTTTACGTAAACGTTTTCTCGTCGGTTATAAAAATACCCAACATAAAAAATACGCGGTGACATTTTTAAAATTAATCTAAACTTTGACGTAAAAACTAAAATCTACGTCGGATATGAAGTACAGTCCGACGTAGATTTCAATTTTTATGTCGGACCCCTTTTGGCCCGACATAAAAAAGTTGTTTTATTTCCCCACCACCTTCGTCTTTTTCGTGGACGTAAGTGTTTTTTCATTGTTTTTCTCTAGGGTTTTCCTCTAGCGATTTCTGGCAACGGTAGTATGAGACCTTTGGGTGTTTTTCGATCACAGTAAGCGGTGACAACAATAGTGAACGGCGACGACAACGGCGGCAAAACTTGTTTTTGATTCTGAACCTATCTCTCCAATTAGGTTGAAGCATTTATGCATTTTCATGGATTGAGGTTAATGCTTTCATGCGTGTATTGATCTTTCTGTGTAAAAATGTAGTTTTATTCCTGCACGCGAGTGATTTGACATTGTTTTCCTCACCAGCGATTTCCGACGACAGCAGTGCGAGACCTTTAGGCGTTTTCCGTTCACGATGCACGGCGGCAAGACCCATTTTTTATTTTGGACCTATCTCTCCGATTGGATTGAAGCATTTGGGTATTTTTTGGACATGTTTATGGATTGAGGTTATTTTTTTGTTTGTCTGTCAACCAT